CGCAAACGTATGCCAGATAAAAATAAAACGCGCTTGTATCAATTAAGATTTCTCCAGTTGAAAATGGCGTTGGTGTCATTGGCAATACTAATTTGTCCCACGACAAAAGTCGCACACAAGTGTGGCTTCGATAAACATCGATACCTTAAAATCAATTAACTGCCGGAGGTAGCCGCAAGGAAGCTCATAGTCATCCCATCAATCTAACCCGCGTCCGCGCGAGGTGGAGCGGTTATGGATCTAATAGAGAAGGTTCAACTGCTCCTCTTTCCTATTTTATACAATCTCTATGGTCCATAGCTTTTACTGTTACCCCCAGAAACATACCCTCTCCTTTCTCTAAATCCCAAACCCCATGGCCCAAACTGGAAACCAAAAGAGTGGCTTTTGTCGTGACACGAATGGTACGATGACCCGTTTCCCTGAACCAACCTTGACGAGACAAGCCGTAAGACCCCCTTTCGACAACGGTCTGATGCTTGAAAGAAAATTATGGTGTCATTTTCCGAGGACCATTGATCCTGCGCTGCTCAAATTGTAAGATATATATGTATATATATATAAACGCCGTGTTTTTCAGCCGTGCTGGGCTGAGTCTCGCCAATCCCCAAGACAAGCGAAATATCATCCGTTCTCCTGGCGAACCTTCCGTTTGCCTTCGGCGACTAAATCATACAGATGCACCCTGTCTGAGGGGGACTAATGGATGGTTTCGCTCGCGCACGCCCATCGGTTAGTCCCAGTCGAGCGCAGTTGGTCACCAGCTTTAACGCACGGTACCTATCTTGAACCAGATGGTCCTTTTGGGGAGCAACTGGAAGTTCAGAGGACCAAATGCTGCCGTTAGTCCCTTGAGGCCAACTTTTTTCTTAGAGTGTACAAACAAGCCCGCCTTCGCCCACACCGGGTGTGGGCATTGCGCGTGCGCAGAGACCAGATCGGCGTCAAGTGAAGCGTCCGCGCATGCGCAGTGCCCACAGCAGCAGCACCACCGCGGTGGCATGACGTCAGAGAGTCGAGTTCGTGTGTAACCTCGCTCAGAGTATTTGCACTCCTTTTTCCGATTTTGTTTAGGGCGCTGCCATTTTGGCGCTTGGCGTAGGGCGGGCGCAATGGACCCTTTTCAGAACCCCATCAGGCAACATTGGCGGACGCCGGTACTCGGTCACGGCGACGCGTGGAATTGGATATGAGTCCTCGCCGAGCGCTGACTCGCCGCTCGCGTCCAATACATGCTGAGAATATGTGTCCAAAGAATGGCGGACTCGTGTAATCGGCGCAGCAACAAGTACAATAGGTTGCTTACACTTTTGAAAAGGGTCGATTGGCGATCGTTGCGGTTCGGAAGTTCGACTGCAGTCATATTTTCAATATTGACACCTCGTATGGGGGACAACTACATTCGAAATATAAACAAACTTCTAACCTTGAAAAAAAAATCTCTAAGTGCGATTTCAAATGTGCCTTATGTTTACCACACAGATGCTCTTTTTGTCCGATTTAAAGTTGTCAGATTAACACACCTACATTACGGCCACCTTCTAGTATCTTATAAGATAGCACAAAAATAATAAACATAGTTGTTTTCTACAAATAGCAAATTTAAATATAAAAATACTAGCGTTTAAAACACACGGCGAAGTGAAGAATGGTGTGTACCCACCATCCGGACGAACTATGGAGTGCCATCGATTACAATCATACCGCCATCTTTTTTGAACAAACTGAATGTCAAACATATCTTAGCCATAACTTACCATTCGAAGCTTTAATAATGATGCTTTCGACGTTGTGAACTTCAGGCTTAGTGTCTTATATGTACTGTGTCAACTTATTTGGAGTCTTCTGACTGTTTTCTTTTTTCGCCCTTCTGGACTTGGAGAACGTATTCGTTTTCGATTTGATTTTGTGAACAAAGCCCTGTACGTGCGCTGCTGTCTTGGAGCTGGAGCCTTGTCAAGCTGCGCGTGTTGCAGCTTTTTGCCCCAGCTACCCTGGTGAAAGAAAAATAAAATGATTGATTGATTGACTGACTTCCTCAGCTTCAGGTGGTCCGGGATATCAGACCATGTGGTTTTTGGTCTGTCGAGGACTGTTCGGACGTTTCTGGGAGACCGAAATTCTTTTCCTGCGATTTCGAAGAAAGATTCATTTCACTGTGGTACTTGAAAGGCGTCCCGGACCAATTAACTAACACCGAAACCAGCGCAACTATAGTGGCTGCACGGACAACTTCGGCGGCCATTAGTTGGGACGCCGTGACGACAGCGGCATTCACGTTCGCTGGTGCTTTTCGCCGGCACTTCTACAACCAACCGCCAGGATCGCGACATCCGACAGTGTGACACTTCGGTTTTCGTGACGTCATGTGTTACCATACTTCGGGACCACTTTCGATGTATGGACGAAATAAGATGCTGAACACACCCGTCGGAGGCGTGTTCCCTGCGAGCTCCGTAATATAACTGACAACGACAATAGAAAGTTTTAGGGAACCGTTTTTGCGCATCCGATACGGTACGATGGGCTCTCCAGTATGAACTGCGCATGCGCTACAACGGAAAACTCGGATATGCGCTGTTCGTACCGGAGGGTATTTGATGGGCCAAAACGGTTCCCTAAAACTGTCTAATTTGCAGCTCCAAAATGTCTGACGGTTTGTTATCTCGAAGTGCAGCTTATGTAGTGGCTCAAGACATCTATTGTGCAGTAATTAAGATGACGTCTGCAAAACGAGTGATGGCCGTTGTTTTTGTTTTGTTTGTTGTTGCGCGATGTTTTTGTGTTCCGGGCTTCCGTGGCATTCCTATCCTGACGATAACGCTGACAGGTGACCGGCCCGTCCTCCTGCTCGCTCATTGTTACGTTCAGTGCCAATGCCAAGAACAATACGGCGAGCAACACAACCGTTCACTTTAGTCATGCCGACGACGGTGAACGACAGAGAGCAAGGGACTTCTTACCAAGTCAGTCCAGCCACTAAATCTGGACTATCTGGAACGCGTCTCCGACTGGAGTGTTGAACTTTCTAAGCGGGTAGAACCTTGGGGCGAGGAGAGGAGGGCGTGAGGGGACGCTAGAGTGCCGAGCTCTGTTTGGAGTAATTAGTGGGTAGGGGCAAAGCTAGCTGCCCTTTTTTTCTCTACTTATTTTTCGAACACCCAACGCCGAACGCCGGACGCCGGTGTTCGGCGTTCGAACGAATGCGAACAGTGAGTAGAAAAAAAGAAGGCTGCTAGCTTTCCGCCTACCCACTAATTATTCCAAAAGAGGAGCTCGGAGCCATGGCGTGCCCTCCCCCCATGCTCACACCTAATCTCTCGCCTTTTTTTTTTTCCCCTTTTTCGTTCACCACCCCATTTACTGAAAACGTTCGCAAGTGGTAATAATGGACGTCATAAGATAAAAAAAAAAATTTAATCTTTTTCCTTAAATGTTTATCAACAAAACTTGGACATCATAAATCAAGTCGCTCCTTTCAGTGGCCCATATCTACATTACTTTTTACTCCTGAAAATTGCTCGGGAATATCTGGATGGGAGAAAGTCGCAGTATCTAGAGAAAAAAAAGCCACCCTTCACGCCTCGACGCGTGCATGTAAGTGGGGTCTTTAGTTTGGCCAGAAACAGTGTTGGTGATTGATTCCACAGCATCTGCTTTTTACCTCCTAACAATGGGAATACTCGGAGTACCTACCCCGTCATCTTTGTGTTCTGTTCTTTTTTTTTTTTTACATAAGTCGACAGTGTGTCTATTGAAAGCGTCAAACAGCAAAGGAGCTCCTCTGGAAATTAAAAAATACAGACCACTCGCTTAGTGACCACCTTGCAATTCAAACTTAAAATGTTAGTATATTTTCGTGACGTCGCTCCTATGTAATACGAGCAGCTATTTGCTGATTTCAGAGAAACCTGTCTGTTATTTGTAGATACTATACTCGTGTAAACGTAACTCGGAGGCACCTTCCCAATGTCAGTATAATGAACGAGATTTCCAAATCTTCCGAACATTATGCTCATTTTCACCCTACGATTAACTGCAGCGTAGGCTACGAGCCATCCAATGCCATGTAAAGCATCAGGCGACCTTCGGGAGGAACGCAATGACGCGCCGGGTCCGTAGTCACGTGACATGTTCGCAGCACCGGATTGGTCGAGATGCTTCATAACCTCAGCTGTGGTCAGTTGTATAAAATTTTGAAAAAGTTGTATAGAACAACTTTTTTATGTTGGAATTCATAATCTATTAAAAGCTACCAATGCGAGTCCCTTCAGAACAAAAACCTTAAAGTTAAAAGTAGGGTGTCAAAAATGTGCGACAGCATGTCGTCGCGTGATGCTTCAACACATTGAGAAAACACCTCCGGGTAAACACCGAGGACAATGATGCAACGAGTCGACACAAACATGACACTCTTCCAAAAAAGGTGCAGCCGTAGTACGTAAAACCAGTGAGTTAGAACACCGGTCTATTTTTTGAGCCTGGCTTCTTTTTGAAATTTGCAGAGCTCCGTTGTTTTGTCAATCGTGCTCGTGACAAAAAAAAAAGGGGGAGGGAAGTCAAAGCAGAATTGAAAAAGCTTGTCAGTGTCCGTTCGCGGCGTGTTTCCGCCATTCTCCACTTTAAAAGGCCCCGACCTCCGTATTCACAAAGAAACCACCCTACGCTAACTTCAGCGCCATCGCTTGCAAGTTACCTTCTAGACTCCCTATGGTTTGCAAGGCCCAAGGTCTTAAAGGTATTTTCAATATCTTAGGACAGGGTACAAAACAGTTCATGGTACAGACTGCTTCGGCGTTCCCAGTCGACAAAAAGTCTAAAATCACAGAGCAGATACAGAGTAAGGAAGGATTTCGCGAGTTATTAACTTGATACAGGAAAAGAAGACTTGAAGAGTTTATCGTCAGAGTGTTGCCTCTGCGCAATCGAGTTATCTAAGCATAGGTGCGAAGACTTAAGGAGATCAAGGTACATCGAGACCAGGGAGGTTACAGCGAGCCATGAATGCCGTCACTTGCGTCCTCCTTCTAGGAACGGGATTTCTTCTCCTGCCAAACGCACAAGGTGAGTTTTCAAGACACTTCTTGTAGCATTCTTTCTACCACAATGTCATCAGTAGTCACTGCGTGGATGAGAAATGCAGGAAGTCTCTTTCGAATGTCGGGTTTCAAACAAGTGCGCGATGCCTTCTGTCTTGCTATGACTGCGCACTCATGCTAGATGTTGAGGAGATGCTGAAGCTCTGCCGAAGGTGGGACAACTGAAGTACCTCCCTGCTGCTCTCGTCCTGTCAGGGGCAAGACTTCAAGAGGGGTGTCTGTCTAGCTCCAAGCACCTGGGTCATTTTACACCTTGATCGCGCTTGTTCACTAATCAGGTCCAGGAGTTCGTCAGAGGTACGAGTTCAATACCATCTTCGCCGTATTCTAACTGAAAGAAAGTATGTAACTCATAAAGCTTTCAAATTCTGAGCGGTGCAATACCTATGGTACGTTTTACGTTTACTTGAGCATTGTACAAGTTTCCAAGGCGAGTGGTGCACCAGGATAAAAAAAAAAACGTGTCTGTTATTTGTAGATGCTATACTCGTGTAAACGTAACTCGGAGGCACCTTCCCAATGTCCGTGCAATGAACGAGATTTCCAAATCTTCCGAACATTATGCTCAGTTTCACCCTACGATGAACTGCAGCGTAGACTACGAGCCATCCAATGCCATGTGAAGCGTCAGGTGACCTCGCGAGGAACGCAATGACGGGCCGGGTCCGTAGTCACGTGACATGTTCGCAGCACCGGCTTGGTCGAGACGCTTTATAACCTCAGCTGCGGTCAGTTGTATAAAATTTTTAAAAAGTTGTATAGAACAACTTTTTATGTTGGAATTCGTAATCTATTAAAAGCTATCAATGCGAGTCCCTTCAGAACAAAAACCTTAAACCCGACTTTTAACTTAAGAAAAAAAAATGGTTTGTGTATTCCTTGGCACACAAATTGTCAAGACCGGGTTAGTGCCTCATGTGCCCTTAGTGGCTTTAGTGTGTTGCGAGCTGTTGCTTTTTTTACGCTAGCTACTTTTTTTCACCTACCCGTGAATGCCGACTGTGAAGATCGTGTGTACTACGTGCACTTAACTGCAGTAGAAAATGGATGGAGGCTGTAAATGATCGGGCTATCTAAATCTTTTTATATGGGCTGCATTTAGTAACATCTCCACTTTCTACAAAAAAAACTCACAACTTATTGTTAAAATGTTACTTGTTTCTTTTTGCATCATGCAGCCCAATGCATCAACGTAACCTTGCCCAACGTGCTTGGCCTGGGGAGCGTAAGTCCAGTTTTGGGCAACTTTGCGTAACACGAAGCACACAACGAGAATAGTACATGTGGCAGCTGAGAATACGATGATGTGTAGGTTAGAACCCAAATGCTTCTTTTATGACACCAGAGATCTTATGCCGCAGCTCAACTTCGAAGGTGGTGGAGCTAAGTGTTGGCAATGCCAGAAATCTCAGCTATGAATCACCATTGGGTAGAGAGAGGAATGACTGCTGACAGGACCATTAAGACGTCTCCTGTTCGGTTCTCAGTCTGCTACATTTCCAGTTGGCTTGAGAAGGACAGCCGCCGCTTTTTTAATTCCCCTGAAACCGCCGCAGAGATATCAACCCCAATGCAAAGTGGTCGAACTGAAGCCACAACTGTAAACAAGAACTGCACAGTAACATAGTGATATTTCAAGCCTGCCGTCCACTCCGTTTTCGTGGCTTCAAAAGAAAACCTTAGTTGTGCCTTTTAATTTTGAGTACTGCATGTGCGTTTTTGATTCCAACCTCTCAGTATGTCGGTGCTTCGGCTGGATATTGTACTACATTTTCGGCTGCCATTAGAATGAACCTACTGACAAAAATTACAAATTCATTCCTGCTATAATAAGAGGGTGTCAACGCACCGACCAGAAAAATGTAACTGTGTTAATATATTTTTGTTGCATTTTTATGTTTTTTCTCTAATCCCCCTTGTAAAAAGTTTAAAATGCTAAAACTACGATGAGGGGAATTATATTTGAATTCAAAGTATGTTTATTGTTTCTTTTGTAATACTTCTCCAGAACAATTAAATTTTATTTGCCTTTTTAATTTTGAACAGTGCATTGGAACACGACTTCAAGCCTGTCCAGACACATCTGTAAGTTAATTGAACTTGATTCACAGTTTCCCTTTCCAGTTATAAGAAATCATATTTGATTAACTTAGACAAATAGCAGGGTAATCGTCTTAATAGCTTTATTTTTAACTTGGCGAACTTCTTCTTATTACTTTCAAACATCCCTTTCATGGTTCTAAATACATTTCTTAATGAAACGAAGCTTGTTTTTGCCTTTGTTGCCTTGTTTTTATTTCAAAACTTCCTTTTCTTCTCTACAACTTACAGGATGGCCTTCTTCCGGATGTAACCGCACTCCTTGAGGTGAGTGTATCTCGACACACCTATGCAAAAATCTAGAAATAACAATCTTTAGTGGGTTGTCGTTCAAACCTATAAACATATTTATGTTATGCACAAAATATTCTCAATTGTGCATAGTTTCTCTTGAAAAAAAAATCTTGTATCTTGGAAAATCTCGACGAACTCTATACTTCGTCTCTTCCTACGATGGACTAAAGGTGAAAGCTACGGAGCGCCAGATCCAATCCCGAGCCATTTAAAAATTGCATGGTATTTCGCTTCGAAGCACGTATCGATACCCGCGTCTGGATCACCGGTGGAGATGGGCGGACAGCGGTTCAAAAAGAATAGCACTGAATGACTCATAAATTTTATATTGCAATCAAAGCTGACATACAGGCTCTTTGAAGTGTCGAAGTAGTGGAAATGATGCAGCACTCTTTGGTTCGGAGCTTTATACGTCCATCACTAATCAATGTTAAGCACGTCAGAGTTTAGCGTAGAACGGGATTGGGCCTGGCGGCCCGTGGCTTTGGCCTTTAGTCCATCGTAGGATGAGACAAAGTATAGGTGAAGCTAAAAATCAAAAGCGCAAACAGCAAGAAAAAGAATCATGGATGAAGAAAGAATAAAACAATTAAAACAGGGACAACACAACCGCATCTTTCAACTAGCAACAGACAAGTAAACTTTCAACGGCGAGCAGCCGACTATACCCAGGAGGAGAAGGGGGGAGAAGGGAAGGTAAGAAAACGCGAAGTGCAAGTCAGAGTGGTGGGCTTATCTCGGATTTTAGAAATTTAACCTCAGTTTTTGTCAGGAGGAGGGAAGGGTTTGACACGTTGTTTTTTGCTGTGGTCATGGCGAGTGACTCTATGATCTCCCTGCCGAATCTGCTGTCATGCGCCCCCATGATTTTTTTTTCATCAAAGAGGGGATGACAACGCAAACACGAACGGGCATGTAAGACTATGGGATGATAAGAATCTGGAGAGGCCTTAGAAACTTTGTTGTGATGTTCGCGGAGTCTGTGATTTGTGCATCTGCCGGTCTGTCCTGTATATTAATGGCCACAGCTCAAGGGGATGGAGTAAACTTTCTTCTCTATGCATGAAATGAATTTCTTTTCGTATTTAACAGTGCAGCCAATCGAAATCCGGTTGTTGTTCACTTGTTGAGAGAGTTGTTTAAGACGCATGCGGCACGAGAAGACAACATTCGTGTCGAACTTTGAAACAATGGATTTTATCCAGTGGGCTGAATTGTGTACGTAAGGAATGATGGCGAATCGGGCTTTCTTTTTTGTGGCTGGTGACTGGCGATCGGACCCTCGAATCAGCCTTTCCATTACTGATCGAAGAAGGTCGACGGGAAACCCTGCCCTGACGAGCCTCATGTGCTGCAATTTGAAGCTATCTTCTGGAAGATGACAGCAAGACTTCGTGAAGGATGAAGAAAACAACGATTTGATGATACCGTGTTTTACCGACTTCGAATGGGCGCTAGAAAACGGTAGGACAGGTTTATCAGACCTTTGTTAAGAGGCCCAGCAGAGTCCAGTGGCACTGACATGGAGCCGCAAATCTAGGTACTAAAGACCTTCCTTCGAAAATTCTTCCTTCGTGAATGTGAGGCCTGACGAACAAGCGGAAAAAACGGCTGTAATGCTGTCTGGAGAAGTTTGATCAGGATGAATGATTAGGTAATCGTCTACATATTCGAAAACATGGCAGCCAGGCGCGGAGATGTCCAGTTGTGCTTTTATAGCTCTGTCAACGAATAAAAGAAATAATTCGCTGAGAACAGGGGCGAGGCATGAACCGATGCAAACTCCTTTCTTTTGGCGGGAGATCCCTCTCTCGTGTTCAACTAAGGTGGACTGGAGATATAGATGAATCAGGTCCACAAATCCAGCAACAGAGACACCGGAGAAATTCTGAAAATCCACAGCTCCGTGCTCAAAGATGGCGTCGGAGATTGAGGCAAGCAATGCGGTAGGATCTAGATTGAAATACATGTCTTCTATGTCAAGTGAAAAAATAGAGTGCAGCAAGGAGAAGAAATGTTGGGAACTGATGAGAGAGATGAGTTCTATTGAGTGAGACACTCTAAAGGGTTGAGGGAGGTGGATGCAGGACAGATGCTTTTGTAGAAAGAGCCCGAGCTGCTTCTGCCAACAACCCTTTTCCAATACAATACTTCGGATGGGAACTCCAGTCTTATGCGTTTTTGCAGTGAAGAAAACTGAAAGGTACTGCTTCGCTGGACTCCTAATGGCGCTTTTTAGGGACGACAGGTTCAAAGACGTGCAGAGTTGTTTAGCTCTTGACCTGAGGGCCCCGGACGGTCGCGATTTCAGTTTGAGAAAATTCTTTGAAAGGGCGGCGTTCACCTTATCCCCCTCCTCTAACACAACAAAAACACCCGTCTTGTCGGATTCTAATAGCTTTAGGTGTTCTTGACGAAGCTCTTCAACAGCGGCGAGTAGAGAGATCTTGCCTGGCTTGGGGGGTGGGTGGAAGCACACGGCGCGGATGGCAGAGCCGAGAAAATCTTGCCTCTGTGGTTCTGGGGTGGCGGCGGCGACTTGATCAACCTTCTTAGTAAGACAGTCTGGGGCGAACTTGGGGCCTTTGGAGAGCAATTCCATTGTGTCGAACGAGATAGCAGTGTTGCACAACAGGACTGGCGGTTCGAACTTCGTCTCCTTCAGCTTACGGCAGGAGACAGTCACTCCAGCAATGACTTCTTTCCATGAAGCTTCAAGGAGGCGAGAGGCGGCGTCGACGATGAACAGCTACGAAGGGTGCGAGCGGAAGCTAGAGCCAAACAAGTTCGTCATGCGGCTGGGAAGGACCCTCCCCAGAAGGTGGAGCTCTAGGGGTATTTCTTTCCTCGATATCTGCATGATGCGGTAGATGGAGGGCCAGTTGTTACAGTGGAATCCAACCAACCGGATTCCGATTGGCTGCACTGTTAAACACGAAAATAAGTTCATTCCATACAAAGAGAAGAAAGTTTACTCCATCCCCTTGAGCTGCGGCCATCAATACATAGGACAGACCGGCAGATGCACCAATCACAGACTCCGCGAACATCACAACGAAGTTTCTAAGGCCTCTCCAGATTCTTAACATGCCCGTTCGTGTTTGGGTTGTCATCCCCTCTTTGATGAAAAAAAATCCTGGGGGGGGGGGGGGGGGGGGTGGGGGGGGGGGGGGGCATGACAGCAAATTCGGCAGGGAGATCATAGAGTCACTCGCCATGACCACAGCAAAAAACAACGTGTCAAACCCTTCCCTCCTGCTGACGAAAAGTGAGGTTGAATTTCTAAAATCCGAGATAAGCCCACCACTCTGACTTGCACTTCGCGTTTTCTTATCTTCCCTTCTCCCCCCTTCTCCTTCTGGGTATAGTCGGCTGCTCGCTGTTGAAAGTTTACTCGTCTGTTGCTAGTTGAAAGATGTGATTGTGTTGTCCCTGTTTTAATTGTTTTATTCTTTCTTCATCCATGACTTAAACCAACACGCTCTTCTCCCAAGCAAGAAAAAGAAGAGGGGAAAAAATTAACAGTTGGACTAGCTGGCTATACATTGCTGTTCGAGGTTCTGATTTTTAACTATATATAGCCAACTAGCCCAACAATTAATTTTGATCTAGGTATCATATCTTATAAACTCCGCACATTGCAAGGCATGGCTAAGCCCACGGTACATATATCACGGCTTTCTTGCTAAGCCTACTATACACATAATTTGTCTTCAGAAGTCACTAATTGGCTCGGTTGTACGGGAAATACTACTTTTAATAAAAACAATAAATAATACCAAATCTGGGCCGTTTTGCAGGCTCGGATAATAAGGTGTTCACAGTGGTGAAGCTGGAACCAAAGCTAATGTATGGGGCGTTGCTTGCAAATTTTCGAAATGAAAACCACAGTGGCAGATGTACTTGGTGTGCTAGCCTAAATCCTTATTCAAACCCTCGCCGGAACTCCAGAATCAAAAACACAAAACATAATTAGCTTAGTAAAACTCAACCAAAGCGGAAAGCAAAGTGCTACATTCATGTATTATTTAAGTTAAATACGCTCATGCTCCTTCGAAAAAAACACCGCGCCTAATATTGTGTTTGCGTTGAAACACTGAATTGCCAGAAATACACATACAAAACTGAGAGGTAAACTTCCGAAGAAACAAAGACACCGACGTACTTCTCAGAGACAGATAATAATAAAAATAACCGAACGAATACCTATTCTAGCATTATTACCCCTTCATTATTATTAAGGAAATTGAAATTTCAACGCAAATTACGAGTTACAAAAACACTAAAAAAAACAATTTTTTTTTGCCAGGTGATGTATTATGGTATTAGAAGACTACCCTATCAATATTTTGCCACAGTGTCACGTATATCTTTAATAAAGTAAAAAAAAGGTCAACTGCACGAAACCGAAATCTAAACTAGACTGAGGAGGAAGATACCAAAAATCACGTAACTGTGTAACGTCTTTTCTTTTCTTTTTTTGGTTTACGTAGGTACAGCTTTTTAGAAGCAACAAAAAAAAGGTATCATTTTTTTGTGGCTTCTAAAAAGCTGTGTGTGCCTTCAAAGGCAAACGACTTTGATTATATTTGGTGGTTGTGTCTACACCATAGAAAAGGGCACGTGACCACGGAGAAGAGAGCGAGCGCGACTCCAACCGGCCAGTTCTCGATCGGCGGTATTCGGGCGGAAAGAAAACCAATGTCGAGCCGCAAACTGTGTTCTGAGTAGTGGGGCTCTCATATATGTCACGTACAACTAAAGAGATTGGCCACCATGAATTCGCTATCAGTGTCCCTTTAAAAAAGGGGCACTGATCATAAAAGAAAATTTTAAAAAAGGCGAACTGAAAAAAACAAAAACAATTCTGCTCTCATTATACTACTCCGGAAAAAAAAATAAGTGTGATTGCTTTCAGTTTGAGATTTCACTCAGAGAGGGATGTGCATATAAAGGAGGGGGGGGGGGGGGGGGGGGGGGGGGTCCGAATCAAAGAGCGCCGAGTCATTTATAGCTTTCACAGTGCAAGCAAAACCTTCGACAATGGGTTCCTCCCAACAGTGTCGGCGCTAGAGTCACCCACAGCTGAATGAACGCAGGGTGCGACTTATTGCGTTCACGCATCCTGCTTCGTGATTGGCCTTTTTATCGGCGAATGCCGCCATCTCATTGAGTGGGTCGATAATGAGATGCTCGGAATTGGTCACGCTCTGTAAAATAAAATTACGGCAAATGTTTTTTTTTTTTTTTTTTTTTTTTTTTTTAGCGTGAAGCGTTTGTTGGTTAGATGCTCCGGATTTCGTGAAGCAGCATTTCCTGAAACCGTGGCCTGTGATGTCCCTTAATGCAACGCCAGCAGTCTTGCATTATGGGACGTCACAAACCTGCACACCGATTTAGTTTCCCCGCTAAATTTAGAGGCGAGATTTACGTCACATGAACTCATATCAGGTGATGCTAGAACGTTTCACGTATGCAACACAATTGTCCAGCAATTTGCCGTGAAATTTGTTTCCCCCTTTACATTGCAGTGCGTGGTACAAGCCCTACCCCGAGCCGGCAACCCTGCGGCCGTGCTCTCAAACGTCGCCGAACTTCTAGAGACAGTGCTGGGAAGGCTCGGGATCTGTGAGTTGTACGGGAGTTTACTGGGCGACGATTAGCCCACGGGGGACAATTGTAAATAAGGTGCGTAGAGAACTTCTTCGGCTCTCTGCAAGCCGGGCCAACGAAAAAAGTCACAACGAACGCGGGTTCAGAACCGTCGAGAGCCCAAGATTTCAGTCTAAATACACGCGTCGCAAAGGTGAAATTTCGCCTTAAGGTTCGCAATAAACTTCGGCTGAGTGCGGTAATGAACCTCGACGTTCGTGAACAGCATACCGTGTTTATAGACCATTCCATTTAGCGCTCTCTGGGCGGCACCATTTTGTTCGACAGCAGCGCCCTCTCCATACATCCGGGAAGTTAAGAGGGTTCGGCGGGGTAAACCGAGATAGAGGGCACGTGCCCGACTCCGCTAGCAGACGACAAAACGGGAGGTTGCCCTTCTCCATCTTTGGGCTGTATCGGCGGGCTGTACGGAACATCGAACTCTCGCTCGTGGCTGCCGTTGTGAAGTGATTCGCGTTCTTAGAATAGTTATGGCTACTCCAAAATCAGCCTAGAGCTCTCTGTTGTTCTACTTCGGTAAATGATCAACTGACATGTCTTTTTTCCGTTACTTAAATAGCAGTTGAGTCAGCCGGCAGTACTACCCTCAACTACTGCGTCTATTGCGGCAGGACAGTCCGTTTTTATTTATTATTTCAGACATCCACTCATGGTCGCTAAAGGCCTACACCAGTACGAACTCTGTATAGTAAAAAAGGTACAGCCACCGGATTCACTTTTCGCCGGAGAGACCGGCCAGTCTAACACAGTTTTTCCTATTTATTTTTTTTTTATTATTTGCACGCAGATAACAGCGCGATTGGACTCTGGTAGTATTTTTATCTAGCATAGTAATACACGATAACTGGCATACCAAAATCTGCGCATCTGCGCTTGAAATTTCCAAAATGACGCGATTTTAAACAGAGTTTGTACGCCAGCCGGATGCTAGGCACTGCCCACTCGGCGGAGCAGACGACATACGGGTGAGAGGGGGAGGGCATTTTTTTTTATCTTTTTACCCTCTCTGCTGTGACCCTAATGAAACGGTCTATAGCGCACAAAATGTGTAAATTATACACCTTTTATTTTCTCCTCCTTTTTCGAACCTGTCTTTATTTTGCTCTGTTCCTCCCCCTCCGCCAGCACAAAGTAGTATAACTATAATTAAAAAATATATATTATATCAATATTCAATAAGTGTATTAAATGTATGAAATCATATAAAAACATATTTTCAATTTATTTCTGCCGTATAAACTGAAATATTTGTCCAACCGAAATATAGGTCGACCGCCTAATTTAGAAGTCGCAAAAAAGCGAAAAAAAAAGTTTTTATGGCAAGGAAATGCAACCTTACCTTGATAAATAATTAGGCCAAGCATACGGAAGGACGAGAAAACACGGCGCATTTGTTTAATTGCTTCGCACGCAATAAAACAGGAAGTTCGCGAGCGTTACTACTCAGGTTCTTCAGAACCTTCGTCCGACGACGAGTTCACTGACGCAATTCAAAGGGACGGTGACGTCGCTTTGAATTGCGCCCTTGAGAGCCCGGAGGAACGAGCGACCTCGACGGCTTTCGTACGGATTCACTCCGACGTCACTGGTGGCGATCTGGTGCGCAAATGCCGAGTGAAATTCGCCACCTTTGCTTCCGATTCGGGGTACACCGCAGTCCTTCAACGAAATGAAGTTTTCTTCGCCTTGCTACACGCTGCCAGTTTTTGTCTCTGCCCTCGCCAGTAGCGTATGCTCGTCTCCGATACACCGAACTCTCGCTGCGCTGCATGATTCTCGTGGATATCTGCACAGGCGATTGCCTTCTTCTTGAAGGCTACCCGTGAGCTGTCTTCTACTTCACTCTTAAGAAAAAAGGCTATAAAAGGGTGTATCGTTACACCCTTTGTCCCGTATAATACACCCCAAAACTTCATTTTGACGTACAGAGCCCTATACTCGAGAGAGAACAGACTTCATATCCAAACACAGTAGTATACGGACCGCTGCGGAACTGGAATTTCCATCCTTCGTTAAATCGTAACCCCTGCGCTAAATTCAAACGCTTTTCATCGAGAATCAACTTAACGGCAGCAGCGGTTTTGACATATATAATTTTTTTTTCTATTCATTTAAAGCAATACTGCAAACGTGCTCATATGTACCCATTTCTAGCGCTTGTCGCACACGCTCAAAACGCCGAGTTATTATGCTGAGAACGCATGAGGGTCCCATTATATTTCACCGAAAGAAAGAGCTACAGTCAGTGTTGGCGTTAACACGTTACCGGTGTCGCGTCACTATTTTTTCGTGTAACGAAGTAACCTGCTCGTTACTTTACTAAAACAGTATACGAATAACGTACTTATTTCAAATAGCGGGCAAAGTAGGTAGGTTACTCGTGTATATTCTTATAGCCGCGTCCCACAGAGTGACAAGCAGCAACAAACGACGGTGACACATGACAACGAGCAACAAACGAACGTTTGTCGGAGTCCGCCGTCCTACCTGGTGGACACGACGCTAAACACAGGGGCAAGAAAACTTGTTTTCTCGTGGGACTGGAGTTGTCAACAAAACACGTCAAAATAAACAGACAAACAGAGCTGGGCGATGGGGTTTTCGTGTTCTGCTCTTTGGGCGGAAAACGTGCCGACCAACACGGTGAGAGTAGAGACGATTACTTTCTTTTTTAATTGAAGCTTCCGCTTTGTCTTCATTTGCCGTTGGCGACTTTCCGAAAATCGTCGTGACTATCTATACCAAGCTTTTTCCGAACTAGAATTACCGAATCGCTCCCTGTTTGGGTCGTTCGAGGCATTCGAGGTGAGCGCCGCGAAATTTCACGCCAATTTCGAGGATGTCTATATCTCAATAATCGAGGACGGGCGTTTCTTGGGGGACATACAGCATTCCGACTATCCCAGAGAGAAATGACAAGTATTTTGCCTGCTGGAATGGCTTGCTGGTACGTCGTGTCCCACTTCGTGGTGAGCCGTCTTACTTTGGTCAGTCCTCGAACGTCGGCGAATCTGTCCTAATGTATAAATGAAGACCTCGATGTCTTGAAGCACCGCCTTGCGCACCAGGGTTTCGCTATCAAATCCAGCCACGGCAAATTCCCTTTCGCAACGTGACTGCCAGCGCACAAGCCACGAGCACTATGAGCTGTCGAGGGACGGGAACAAGTGGGAAGCCCATGTGGATACCAAGGCCTTCTCCCAAGGCCGAGCTTCCGAACGAACCACGGGAAGAACGGGAGGAAGGTTGGGAAGAGAGGCAGCAGAGAGTGCGAGCGTGCGAGAAGGATAAGTTCGTCTCCGAGAGATGTTCCTCGGTGGGAACGCTCGCGGTGCTTCAAGTTGGACGGCAAACAAGAACTTGTCTGCCGTCGATCCTTCGCCGGCGCTTGTCGGCGGTTGCCGGGGGGTGTTTGCCTTGGGACAGGATCAGTAGCACGCAACTTTGTGGTGTCGTCGGACAAAAATCGGTGTTTGTCGCCCTAGTGCGACGGAATCTTTTTGTAACAAATACACTTACGTTGTGTGTGTGTGTGTGTGTGTGTGTGTGTTTTTGCGCGCGCGCGTTTTTAGGCAAAAAGTCATACGAAATCTGGCACGCATTCCACATACCTTCAAGATCAGAACCGTAAAAAAAGTTAAGGAAATTATGAGTTTCTTCGTTAATCGAATGTTTCCAGGAATATGGCGCTTGTGCATACCTGTAACCTGTACGTAATAGCACAAAGTCTCAATTCATTAGCAGAAAAGAATCGGCAAAGTAACGTGCGTTACTTTTTATCGGAAAGGGTAACGCGCTCATTTTGTCTTGAGGTGACGCAGGTCAGTAACACGTTCCTTTAATTCACAAGTAACGAGTCACGTAATTATTCGTTACTTTCTTTTCGATAACGAGCTACAGCACTGGCTACAGCGCAAGCTCGGAACTTCTTCCACCGCCCAGCAGACAAGGATGCCGACGCGGTGAAGACATTCGTTGGATATGGTCTAGAGATCATTAAAATAGCCGTTTGAGCGACCATCTTTGTCCACCGAGCCTTGAGTCACGTCCCGAACATTCGCAAATGCTCATTTCTGTGGGATACTATACGCTACGGATGCGTTCACGGTCCACAGTGACTCGGCATTTTAATGAGCATTTTTGGTTATATTGGGGATTGGAATGAAACGGAAACTGCTCTCTTTTTCCAGCTGCGGACATCGTTTCCATTTCGAACCTCCTCTGCCGGCCGTTCGGTTTTCCGCTGCTTCCTTGCGAGAATTTCACCTCGGGGACCCTGGTGTGCGGAGAACCGATCACCGTCAGCCTGCCAAGCGCCTTCAACATCGGAAGTGTGAGTGACCTCTTCAAACGCGCGTCTTCTAATGGTGAATTCCACTTGTAGATACGGAGCGCTTTCCGAACTCCGCGAGGGAGGCGAAATTCCGCTCCGTGGCACCCACTCCGAATCGACAAGCGGAAAATGAACTCGCACTTTTGAAGCGACCCCTCCCCCTCCCCTCCACCACCCGCTCCCCCCTCGGCCGTTCAAAATGGCCGCTGCTCGAGGACAAGCCCACCAACGCCTCAGCCGACTGATCTTTCCGACGACCAGTGACGACTATATCACTGCTTAGCTCCAGAAATGACACGCGACACAGGCCGGGCGAAAGCAGACGTACCACGGAGCCCATGTCACAAATAAGAAAGACGTCCGCATTCAGCCCCGTCACGTACCTTTCGGCCGCCTCGAAGCGGCGGGGCACGCCGCCGCTTCAGTGGAGTTCAGTGTCATCGGTGGAGTTCAGATTTTGGTACGACTTTAATAAACACAGAGCTAACAAACCATCATTGGCACGGCCGTTGCCTAATCTGTTCTTGCTTTATTGCACGGGAATACGCCGGCGTCATGCAGTGTAAAAACAAGTAAGCAATCAGTGGCAGCAAAATGAACAGGCCTAACCTTGCGTCTGCCTCCTTCCGATTTTCTGCCGCTCTTTTTCTCGTTCTTCCTCTCACGATCACAGATGTCAGCGCTTTCGATTTGTCACCGCTCCTCTCCCGGCTTTTCATTTCTTTTCTGCGCGAGGTGGATGCGTTCGAGCCGTCACAATTCCACGTAAACAACCGACGCATCCGAGCAGATCCAGCTCGACCGACTCGACTCCGTCACTCCATCGACGGCGCGGCCGGTCGCCGGTCGGCCCACCGACCTCGCCGCGCATGCGCCACCGCCAAGTTAGAGGAAATGATGTGGCGCGCTCTGTCAACTTCCGTGAAGATCTTTGAACTCCCGCGGATCACGTTCGGCGGAGTTGGAGGCGCTCCGCGGAGCGAGAGCTGCCACAGATCTACGAGCGGAAGATGACCAAGTAGAGCCAGTTCTGCGAGCAAAATATGCGCGCTCAAAATGGAGCGCTTTTGGAGCGCTCGAGATATGCGATGGAATTCATCATAAATTAAAAAAACGGCGTGCATTTGAATCCTTTTTCCTCTGTTTCGCATTTCCGCCGCCAGACCGCGCCAGCTTTTAGTATAGACAGTCGAATAGGTGGTATAGCTATGGTACCTGTAACGCGTCTGCAACTAGTGTGTTTACCGCGTCCAAAAAAAAAAAACATTGTGCCTTGATTTTTGCCTTATGACGTCATAGAAGTGTCTCGCTGTCGCCGGTAGTGGTCCTGGTGGTATTCCAGCAGCGGTGGTGGATGTGGCATACGCCTGTTCTGCTGCAGGTCGCTCTCCAGTTCGTCAATTCACTGAAGCTTAGGCAGCCGGAAGTTCGGACGCCGCGACGAGAGCGACACTTGTGTTCGCTTTGTGCTTTCCGCGAGCATTTCTACGACCAACCGCCAGGGTCCCGACGTCCGACAGCATACCACTTCAGCTTTTATGACGTCATTTGTTGCCTTTTCGGGACCCCTTCAAGGCATGGACGCCAAACACATTAGTCAGAGACGCGTTCTGGGCATGGTGTATGCGCATCGCAAGTTCGTCTGTTTCTTTTACAGGGGTTGTGGTGACGCCAGAACGCCGATCTCTTATTGGCTCTGATTAGAGGATAGTGGGTAGAACTCAAAGCAAGATGCTCTGAGGCAGGGGTGCTCAACATACGGCACGCAGGCCGCATGCGGCTCAAGCGTGTTTTGCTAGCGGCCCGCGGCCTGGCTCAGCGCAGAGCGTTGCTTACTACGCCCTTCAATTCGCCGAGCACCTGCTCCGCTTGGCGAGCAGCTGTGAACCCCTCTGACCACTCAGTCTTCAGCGACAAAACTACGATTTCTCAGTTCAAACTTTTCTTTTCCGCTACTCCCGCTGACAACAATTAAACACGTGTGCAGCCGTCCCTGTTTATGATATGGTTTCGTCTCAACACGTCTGTACACGGAACGCGAAAACTTCTTGCTCTCTCTCAACAGATCCCCTTCCCCCTTTCGCCGCGGAGGCTATCAACCCTCTCCCTTCTTGTTGGTATAATTAGGTGGAAGGAATTGGCTGAGAAGGGTGGGAGGAATCATGTTTGTCTCTTTAGACTTAGGCTTGTCACAAGCTACCGCTTGTTACAAAGGTGTAGCCACTAACATCCATCCATCGATCCATCCACATGAACAATGCCAGTTCAATGCAAAAGAACAAAAATACCAGATGGATTAAGAAATGGTTAATGGTCTGGTGAGCTGGTGTAAGTTATACATGATGATTGAAACCTGACACTGTTTTGAAAAACGGAACACTCGCGAAAGAGGATGAAAAAGGACGGGCTACGTCTCAAACTCAGCTACAAACTTTATTGTCTCTACGCCTTCGATACCACTCCCCCGCGGACGTCGCCACCACCACAACGGACAATCACCGAACGTCATGGTTCCTACGTCCTTTGAAAGAATCGTGTTGCTCGGGAAATATGAGGGACCTTCCAAAGGGGAAAATCTATCAGGAGCCCGGAAGTTCAATCACGAGTGGATATGCAGGTACTTTTTCATTGAGAACGCATCGAACTTCGTTTCTGCCTTGTGTGTCGCAAGTCCCTCGCCGTGCCCAAAGAGCACAACGTCCGTCGCCACTACGAGACTAAAAACGCTTGCGACTTCAGCGCCCTTTCGGATTCTGAGAGGTTAACGAAATCCGAGAACTTGAAGCGGAAGTTACTTGCTGAGCAACGAATCTTCACAAAAGCAAAAAAACACGTCTCAATCAACAAAGGACTTTTTTTTTTTTTTTGGTATCAAAACAGATAGCTCGTTCAGGTCATTCTTTACGGATGGTGACTTCATAAAAGAGTGCCTTCTGGTTGTTTGGAAAGAGATTTTCCAAAACAAGAAGTCGTGGTCCTCCAAAATCCGAGCTTAGCAAGAGTGACTGTACATCGACGTGTGGACGACCTATCAAACCAGCTGGAGAAGAGTTGTGGTTACTTCGTGTGCTATACTCTCCTGCTTATTTGGGTGAGAGCAAAAATATTGAGGACACTGCTCAACTGCTTTTTTTTTTTTTAACCGTGGTGTCAATGAAAACTTTGAGGTAACTCATGAACTGGCAGAGCTTAGTGCACGGACGTACTACTGGTGAACATATAAGCAAGGAGGTCAAAGACATCGTCGAAAAGCTCAAGCTATTCTGGGGAAAACTCCAGGTGTCTGCACCAATGGAGCCCCAGCTATGACTGGGGAAATAAATGGAGCCATTGCTTTACTACAAACGTATAGTGGCGTAAAACTGAAGCAGTGTCACTGCGTGCTGCGCCAGGAAGCGCTCTGTGCCAATGTGATAAAGTTCGAACATGTGATGAGAGTCGTGACGTCGGTCGCCAGCTTTATACGTGCTCGGGGATTGAAGTACAAAAAGTTTCAAGACTACATAAAAAAAATAGCAAGCACATAAACATCCCGTATCACAGAGAACTTCGCTGGCTGAGCCGTGGGAATGATCCGAGTCGTTTCGTTGCTCTCAAGAACGACATCATCGCTTTCTTGGGCGATGTATGGAAATAATACCAGAGCTGGAAGATGAGCGGTGGTTACGAAATTTAGCATTCCTCACACATATTTCAAGCCACCTAAATGCGCTCAACACAGCTCCCTGAGGAAAGGACAGCCTCATTTCGGACATGGTGAGCATCATTTTCGCATTCCAATGAGAGTTGCGCCTGTTCACATTCCGGCTTCAAATTGGAAATTTAGCGCACTTTACAACCTGACAGCAAATTTTTCCCAATTCTGAAAACCAGAAGTCGGTGACTGCGACGTACGCGCCCCATGTTGAGAACCTTCTTTCCATCTTCCAGCAACGATTAAAGGTGCTTGAGGTCGAGAAAGCGAACTACGACATGTACCGCGAGCCTTTTTCTGAGTCCCGAAAAAACTCCGATCTGACGATTGGAGCTCATCGACCTCCAGTGTTCACCAGCGCTGAAGACTACGCATCGCGAATCCCAACTGCTTGAGCTCTACACCTGGGCAAGAACAAGAACAAGAACAATATGACAGTAGAATGCCTTACCAGAAAGCGCTGTTGAGAAACAATTGTGTCTGACATACATGGGTAAATTACTTTCAAAATGTAATTTAATTACAATTACAATTAGTTAGCTCCCAAAGTATTTTAATTACAATTACAATTACTACTACGCGAAAGTAGTTCATTGCAATTACAAATTACTTTTTAAAAGTAATGCAATTACTTTACAATTACTTATTTCTGAGAGTTACCCCCACCTTGGGCCATATAACTGTAAACGAGTTATATGGCCGCTGTATAAATGTCACGCATTGTGCTTTACCTTTATGAAATTTGTTAAATGTATTATTGAACTTAATAGTTTGGAGTAATGAACTCCTGCGTTCTTGTATTCTAAAAAAATAAAAATAAATGGCGACAAAATTCACAGGTGCGAGGTGAATCTCCTTAGAGCTTATGCAAATGGTATCCAAGTAAAACCTACAAAGAATAAACTTAAAACTAATACAAGGAAACAAATATGCGACAGTACTGGTATCATAAAACTCACGTAAAATAGCTAACAAGAGAAAATTGTAAACGACGTCAAACATTTAAAGAATACGACAACTTACGAAAACATATCAGCCACGATGATTCGCTGCCTCTCTCTGTCTGTGGACTTGTAACATGCCGGATGTGGGTAACCGTAGCACGCGAACTGTGGGCGCTTCCACAAAACTAGTGTCACGATAGCAGCAACTCTATTGCCAGGGATTCTGGGTTAATACAGTGCACGGTAACACCCAAAAAGCTTCTGAGATAGATAATAAATTTAGGATCGTCATATAGCTAATCATTAGGTTAGCAATGATTGTATCGATGTATGCGTCTCATAAAGAAGACCGATTTGAATTTAGCATGGCAAGAACAACCTCAAAAAATTCATGATACACTGTAAACGACTTTATTTTCGCGAATTTCGCGATTCGCCTACAATTCGCGAAAAATAAGTCCCGCGAGCAATTCCGGTAATATGTAAACACATTGGGATCTATAGTGCGACCCCACCGCGTCGCGAAAATTAGAATCCGCGAATTATTCCAAAACTGCGGCATCTTGGACGCCTCGATTTCATTATTTACTTGAGCGTGTTTCAGCTGGAAGATATAGACGAGCCATTATTATTATTATTTTTTTATAACTGTAAGTATTATTGAAAGTGACAAAAAAGTTGCTAACCTGCAAATGTTTCCGCAAATCGGACGTCGCCTTTCGGTCTGTTGAATTTGTTTTCAGAGACGGTGTAGAGAGTTTGCACCTCACGATTATATTTTTTACATTGCTGCTAATCTGTTTGAAGAATTTTTCGTAACAAGGCCCCTGCAGCCTTTCCTTTTCCATTGTAGATAAGACTGTTGCAGGTTCTCAATGCAAAGCAGCACTGCGCGCCTCGGGACGGCTCCACAGGCCAGGACGAGAGGACAACGCGTGGAGGGTCACGATAGAGGTGTAAAAACAAAGTGAAAGCAAAGCCCTCTATAAAAAAAAAAAAGAAGCCTTCAACGAAAAACGAATGTAAAAAGAAGCTCCCTACAGTCTAAAGCCGCGGTTTGTAAGTTTTGGAATCTCGTCCAATCAGGCTGACAAACGGTTGAAAGGGTTAGGTGGAGCGACCACTAAATAATGAAAATTTATACAAAAAGGTAGACGAGGATCGAGAGAAGGCAGAGCAGTGTAGCAACAACAGTTGGAAGTAAGGCAGGGTGAGTCGTGCTAATGAGACCTGCTGCTTCTTTGCATCTTCGCCTCGATGTTAGAGTAGCACGACTTACTGTTAGCGGTACCAACATACGAGATAGGGGAGAAGGACGTAAAAAACTCATAAAGGAAAGAGAATAATTTCATGAACAAAAAACTCCCCAAACTTGACTGAAATATGTAAGCGAATATGCTAGCGGCGAAGACGCGTAAGGAGAACCTCGAACCTCCCCGCCTCGACCGAATGATGTGATCGGAGCCAACCAGCTCGACTTCGACCCCCGATGCCCCCGTGTGGGAATGAGAAATAAGAAAGACCCCTAGAAACAGGAGCAACAGGAAGCGAATGAGACGAAGAGTCAGATTCAACTACGACAGGAACGAAAACGGACGCGAATGTAGCCCTCATTTATCAAATTATTTCTCAAATTGAAATCGTTTTGAAGTCTACAAAATCCTTCATTCCGTTCTATCCCAGCCTCTTTTTCCCATTCCTCTTTTCCTTTTTTTTTGAGCAGGTTGGGAGTCACTCTCTCCCCTGTCTCTTGGCTGTGCTGTCGTCTCAGTGGCCAGGGTGGAAAAGCGCCGCCGCCGCAAAATCTTGCAAAAAGTAATTGTAATTGTGCCTGAACTTTAGCAATTACTGACGCTAGAAAGTAATTAAATTAGAATTAGAATTTCTTTTAGCCAAAAGTAATTATTACAATTACAAATTACCAGGAAAAGTAATTAAATTACAGTAATTTAATTACTGTAATTGAATTACTACCCAAGTATGGTGTCTGATCTCATAAGATGCCTAGACCTGTAAAGCTAATAGACCTTGTGTGAATTTTGGTCTTTATCTTGGCATTTTACAGATGTGGTGTTCGGTGTGCTCGGTGTGTCTGCTGCTTAAAATTATGTTATTATTTTTTGCTCAGTTCTATCGTAGTCCCTTCTCAGAAAGGGACTGATAATATTTTGAAATAAATAAATACGTAAGGAAGTACGGAAACCTTGTGGGCCACGCCTTAAAACTGACGTCACTTTTCGGGACGCACGTTTGTGTGTTTGCGAGCAGACCTTCTCACTGATGACTCTAAACAAGAACCGCCTTCGATCTGCCATGGCGGACATGACTTTGCGAGATGGGCTAAAGACGGCAACGAATGCGATGACACCTGATATCGAAAGCCTGACCGCAGCCAAAATGTGCAACACGTCGCACTAGGTGCGGCCCGCACACTTTTCAATAAACGGAATTTCGGCCCTCCTAATTTTTTAGTATAGCACCCCTGCCCTGAGGTCTACCCATAATCCTTCAGTCAGAGCCAATCAGAGCTTGGCATTCTGACGTCAGCAGAGCCCCTGCAAACGAACGGACGAACTTCCGTTCCGCATAGCGTGGCTCCCCGCTTTTCTTCGCGCCCTTTCCGCTCTGTAGGGTAGCATCCTCTGCAGTTATGTAGAGAGCCTGGTGCCACTGGCACCATGGAGGGCTCCTGCGATTCAATGACGGAAGCCTTCTGCGCTGATTGGTAGCTTGCTCGCATGTATGCGCGTGACAGCAACCCTAACATACTAGCATTTAGAGTACAAGTGCTAATAAATTAATCCTATTTATGTTTTATTTTTGCGTCCGCAGTGTCTCAACAGGACCGCTCTCTTTTGCGAAGCCGGACAAGCCGTTAGGGTAAGTTTTTTGCACTTCGCGAAAACACCGCTTAAAATGAATGCATGAAGTGTACATAACCTATGAAACACGCGTTAGTTTTTGTCCCCACGCAATGGTGGTCGCAGAAAAATATTAAAAAGGAAATCGAGCAGCGTTTGCCCCCTCAACTAGCAGCCAAAACAAGGGGCCACGTGATCTGCGCGGCCGATTATACAAATGCCGCCGTTGTTTATCAAAGTCACACGCAGCTGGCAGAGCACAGGACACACGCTGAGTACCAGACAGCGCTCGGCTATTCATTGCAGCCATTGGAGACGATCCACTACCCGAATGCTTGTCGAGCCATTGATTTCCAGAAGCCCCAATCACGTTAATACGCGATGTTCGGGTCCAATCTAGGAGCTTTTATAGAGAACGCCGTAAAATGCTGCCTTGGCGTTATGTCCTTTTAAAAAATAGTTGATTTAGTGGTTTTCGATGATGCTCAGAAAGTTTATAATTGGAACTATAAGTCTATTTGGACTAATTAAAACTTAATTAACAAATTTTACTTATTAGCCGACTAATGGTTGCAACTCTCTCCGTATGCTATGCCCTCTTGGCCGTCTAACTCACCTGCACAAACCACATTAGTGTAGTTTTCACGGATTTTTTTTAACAAATCTCGGAAAGCTTGAAAAAACACCCTGTATATATATATACGTTTTTATATATTTGACGTTCCTCTTTAAACAGCGTAAGGTCGGTCTGCCTTTGATGTGCGGCGACACAGGTTCACGCTGAATATATTTCAATGGCCTACAGGATATGCATGTTAATAGCCGAATAGCCCAACAAAAATACTGTGTCATGTCACTCTACAATGTTTGTCCTTTTTTTTTTTTCCAGGACCCGATTTTGACTGAACTCGTCGAAGCAGTTGGAGTAAGTTTCGATGGCACCTACTTTTCGCACTTGCATGATCGACAATATTCGATACTTTAGTGTGAATACTATCGTCATGTCAGTATTCACTTACTATTATGAGTAATTACTCAGTATGGGAGGGGGTCAGTAAAACTTACTAAAATGAGTAATTATCGCGGCGTTCCCTGCTGCACAATGGGTTCTGGATTTATTTAGAGGGTAATCTCATAATCTTGCCTGCTAATCAGTTTATTAGACGATAAGATTATGATCTAATAACCTCGCCCATTAATCAGGCTAGTTCATAATTAAATGACTAGAACCTCCCACACTCTGCTCATCCTAAAGACTGTACTGCAAAATGTTACAGTAGCACTGAAAATTGTGCTCTGCGACATCTATTCGCGACTCCAGCGATTTATAGGGGGGGCGCCACCACCAAACAAACATGGCGGCTGAGTCCAGGTCGCGTCGGCTCGGCCGGGCCGCCTGAATAGGTGGCGCATTCAATTTAACAAATTTTCTTTTGTTGAATGCCCAATTTTATGGGTATTTGAACTGAGACAGTTAAGTGTAGCCGGTGCGCATAAACTTGCCGAGCATAGTTTTGTTTTGCCGGTGTTTTTTGTTCCTTTCATGTCAAACTTTAGTTTCGGAGACTTCGATCAAAACCGAAACTATGGGCTCCGGAGAAACGGTAATAGACTCTAATTAGTTTTTATCATCTAAGGAAAGCGGCGAGGGCTACAAAATTGTTCCACCGAGAGTAATTTTTAGCTAACTCGTATGCCTCGACCTTGCGACTTATCTGTCCGCGAAATTGAGCTTTTGTGCCTGTCCGCGTTTCAAGAAACAGCTCCAGTCGTGTGCTCGGTCAAGAACACAGGCTGCAGCAAAATTACGAAAGTTAAGCAAGCGCTTCTTGAGCCAAGGAGCATGTCAACTCGCTGGCGCTTCAATAAGCAGCTGATACTCGTATTTCGATTCAGGTTTTAGTAGCAATCGAGAAGTCATTTTGACGAATATGAGGATTATGTATTATATTAGGTACTATGTCCCACTAATGCGATATTAGTATATTCTTCGGGTTGAAATATGAACTTAGTTGACTAACTATTAGGTGAACTGCTGAATAAAAGTATATTTGACAGACAGAGATACTACTTAAACTTAGCCAAATGGTTCTAGCCGGTAGAACGGAGACGAATGCGGACAAACTGAGGAGAGTCTTTATCGGATATTCACTCAGACCTCTCTGCATTGCACTTGACTTCGAATCCTGAACGGATAAAATTAGTATTTTTTGTGGCCGGTCAACCTGAGCAATGTAGACGTATATTGCTGCTGGCTTCGACAGGGGTTATAATATAAATATTGGAGGGCGCGATAGATCCTAATGACGAGACAGTTTCAAAGTATGCGAGACGCGTCCCCCCACCTTTTGAAAGCAGATAATTTCCCTCATTAATCATATGGAGCGAACAGGTTTTCTGAATCAAGTAATTGCGAAATTAGCCCAACTCCTTCAATGTGGTCTTTTTCGGCGAAAAGCCGCCAATTTGAATAGCCAACGGACCGGCCGGCGTTAGTGGCTGAAATTAACTTGAAGCTAATCGAGCACAACCAAACTCAAGGAAAGCAGTTATCGAACCTTCCCATTCACTTGACTACAACATTGGTGCTCCCCCCAGTGAAACACTTCGTCTGTCGACCTCAGTCCGCTATTCTACATCCTTATAAAGAAACCACTTATCAGTTATCAAGCAGTCGTCAGTTTGAATGTGATTAGAGACAGACGAGAAATCAAAAGTTTTTCCGTGGTTCCTCCTCATCCAAAAAATTGAAAGCACGCGACCCTGTGCTGTGGAGTAAACGGGCTTTCAAACACCTGATGGAAAGAAACAACCTACTGAGGCTTCACCACACTAATGAACACTCAGCCAAACTTAAGAAATTTCCGGACCCTCGTCAAATTACATTGCTCGCTCCCGCGCCGAAAGCACGTGTCCGCGAAAGCCATCAGAGACGCGGCGGGGCGCGGAGCGACCTGGACCGACTGGTTCCCGGTTTTCCTGCTTGGCGGCGTCCGTTTTGCTGGAGTCGCGAATGCCCATCTCTCCCTCGCTGTGTTAGTCAACGAGAGAAGAACCTCCTTTTGTACAAACACTCCGCACTCAAAGAATCTGCGAAGTACAAATTAGTCACTGAATGTTCCCAGAGTACAGAATTCCATTCAGTTCACTTACCGGAAGTCAAGCCGGCAGAATCCAGTTCCGATTGGCTGGTTTAGCCCGTGGCGGAAGTTATCAGTCGGCCATTTGTGGGATGGGCTCGAAACAACCAAAAAACCTCTATAAAAGGTGTCCGCGTTACCACGGGTACGGCCAACGAGCTTGACTAAACATAGAGCGCTAAACCAGCGGGCAAAAATGATATCCCCCCCCCCCCCCCGGTTGCCGCCATCTTGCCTGTTTGCCACATTAGTGATCACGTGACATTAAGATGGCTGCGCCTAGAGGTGGGTCAGATCAGATTGGCCAGATCACGGTCACCAGATGGGCACTCTGGGGTTGCGTTCCAATATTACTCGAATGGATCAGAGTTACTCCAGCGGATCAAGCCGCGTGACGAGACAGATACAGAAATGCTGGACGCGGGTAGATTTTCGAACGCAACGGGTACAAGATCTTTACCCAAGAGTGAGATAGAGTAATTTTGGAACACGGCCGCCTGGATGGGGACCGAACCGAGCGAGAGGTGCGAGCTGGCCGAGCGCGGCTAGCGCAGCAACGGCGGTGCGAGCATTGAACCGCGATGATCGTGCGCTGTGGGGGAATGGTAAATTTCCATGTGTGCCATGTTTGGCTAGGCAAACGATGAACGAATAGGACCGGGTATGCACATATTGCACAAGATCTGACCAGGTATGGGCACCGACGCGTGGATCCGATCCGAGAAGCAATGCATGAGAGCTCACGCATTCCTTCTCGGCTTCCACTTGCAGATACTCTATATGCCCTACGTATACCTTTACTTAAAAGCCATGAACATTCCGCTGGTCGAGTGCAGCGAGAACGCAAAACTTTGATGCGAGATATCCACGCGATGTTTGACACATACGATCGATTTTCTTGGAGCGGTGCCCATGCCTGGTCAGATCTTGTGCGATGCGTCCATACCCAGTCCTATCTGTTCATCGTCTGCCTAGCCAAACATGGCCGCACATGGGGATTTACCATTCTCCCTCACAGCACGATCATCGCGGTGAAATCCGACTCGCACCGCCGTCGCCGCGCCAGCCGCGCTCGGCCAGCTCGCACTTGCTCGCTCGGCTCGGTCGCTCGGTCGGCTCGGCCCTCACCCAGGCGGCCGTGTTCCAAAATTTACTCTATCTCTTTCTCGGGTAAAGGTCTTGCACCCGTTTCTTTCGAAAACCTACCCGCGTCCAGCATTGCTGCATCTGTCTTGTCACGTGACTTGATCTGCCGGAATAACTCGCATCCAACCCCAGATGTCCCGTCTGCTGACCGTGATCTGGCCAATCTGATCTGACCCACCTCTGGGCGCAGCCATCTTAACGTCACGTGATCACTAATCTGGCAAACATGCAAGATGGCGGCAACCGGGGGGTGCCATTTCCGTTGCTGGCCGTGGGTTCCGGTTTACCGCTCTAAGGTATAATACTCAAGCTCGTTGGGTACGGCGGGTACGCACGCGAATGGTAACTCTGCATGTCGTTTTTTTGTTTTTTTTCTTTTTTTTTATTATTATGTAGCTAGCCGTTAATTTGGTTCGCCAAAGAAGATTGCCGGCTGGTTTGCTCGCTCCGATTGCGCTGGTGCTGCGTTTCAAACTCTACGCCTTAGACACTAAGCCTAAAGCCGGGGTCACACTGCTTATACCATCGTATACAAAAGACAGTCTGCAAACGGATTCAAACTCGAATCACCGCGAGAACCGTGCTTCGAATGACGCATGGCAATGAGTTCAAGGAGAAAACTTGGCACGCGGCATTCGAATCACGAATATTGAGGTGACTTGTGTTTGCAGACTGTCTTATGCATGGTGGTGTGAGCAGTGTGAACCCGGCATGAACACTCGACCTTGATGTGTTTCGAGGTGAGAAAGAGCCAGGACCAAGGCACGCACCGCTCGGAATAAAGGAAATAACTTTACTAAAAACAAACCATTGTCGCCACAGCCCAGGAAAGTGGACTAAAGAACTAGCACAAAAAAGAACGCTACACTGTACGCGCTTCGTTTCGACCGCACAGGGCAGCGCCAGGGGTTTCCACAGGCGTTTCCCCAGGAATTGAAATTGGGGGGTGTCTCTATTATTAGGAGGGTAGGGGGGGGGGGGGGAGGATGAGGGGGTAGCGTGGGCACTGCGAATAGAAAAGTTGTTGCGAAATAAAGGGGTGCCTTCAGAAAAACAAAGGGCGAAGTGTACACCCCCCTTGGAGGTGTGTAGGGAAAGGGAAATCAATGGGCAGCGCCATATCGGGGATGGGTCGAAGAGCGGCTGCTGCGCTGCGACTCGCTTCTGAAACGAAGTCTGAGAGTTTCGGTATAGCCTCCGAGATCCCGAAGCGCGCGCGCGAAGGCTTCTCCGGCCGTCCCATTCGAGTCGCTCCCCATCAGTACGAGTGTAATCATGGCCTCCGAGATCCCGAAGCGCGGGAACATTCAGTGATTCAGTGACACTAATTCTAGTTTGAGTATTCTGGATGTGTCTTTGGATGAGGCTAGCTTTTTAATGTGGTTTCGGAAAGGCCATTTTGGGACGCTTTGGCGTCCCTAAACTCCGTCGCTTTGGGACACGTGAAAGAGTCTCTCCAACTCGAGTTCTTGGCTCTAGCCGGAAAGTTTTACTACCATTGTGGATCACTATTATTGAGTTTTAGTTTCTTCTTTTATCACCTGCCGTCGGCGTCGGGTACTTCAATGCCTGGTAAAGGGAACAAACACATCGGCAATCGGAGAACAACGCAATTCATTCATCTTTTCCATTTTTTTTTCAAAAAAATGTTTACTTTTAAGCTGGTAATTACTGCAATAGTAAAACGTGTAAAACGGTATTTGTTCGGGTCAGAAAATGGACCTTTCTTCCACTAAACTTCCGGGTATGAGCACACTCTCTTCCTAGGCCTACCTTCCCGCTGTCGCCATATTTGCAGGCCACCGTCCCGCACGACCAACATTTTCAGCATATATCGTCAATCAATTTTCAATCAATCATTTTATTTTCCTTTCACCCAGAAATATTTGTAGCTTGGGCAAACAGCTGTAATACGTACAGCTCGTCAAGGCCCCAGCTCCAAGAGAGCAGCGCGCGCACAGGGCGTTGTTCACAAAATCAAACCTAAAATAAACGCATTCTTCAAGTTCAGAAGGGCGAAAAAAGAAAACAGTCACTAGACTCCAATGTAACATATAACATCAGTTGACACATTACACTTATGACACGGAGCCTGAAGTTCACAACGTTGACAGTACACTCATTAAAGTTTCAAATGGTAAGCGGCTAAAATCTGTTTCGACATTTAGCTTGTTCAAAAAAAACATGGCAGTGTGTATGTAATCGATGTCAGTCTATAGTTTGTCCGGGGGGTGGGCACACTCCCCTCTTCACTTCGCCGTGTGTTATAAACGCTACTATTTTTATTTAAATTTTATATTTGTAGAAACAACTATGTTTATTTTATTTTTGTGCAGTTATATAAGATACGGAAAGGCGGTAGGAACGTAGGTGCGTTAATCTGACAACATTAAATCGGGCAAAAAGTGCATCTCTATGGTAAAAATAGGACACATTTGCAACCACTCTTAGAGCTTTTTTTTTCAGAGTTAAGTCTGTTTTCCTCTTTCTTTTTTAGTACCGAATCGATCGTATGGGGTATAAAAACGAAGGACGTTTACAAATCTCTCTAATGCGAAAATAGAGCGCAGCTCTTGAGGAGGAGGAGGGGAGAGTACCGTACCCTCCTCTCCTCTTCCCTCTCCCCTGCTCCTCCTCTTCTGTCCTTCTCCTCCCCTCCTCCCTTTCCTCCTGCTCTCGTCCTGTCGCTGAATTTGTTCTCGTCTCATAACTAGACCCAAGGTAAACATCAGATCACGGACTACTCGGTATAAAAATTTTTATACCGAGTAGTCCGTGATCGGATGTTTACATTTGGTCTAGTTATGAGACCATTATTTGGAATAAATAGCGGTTCGGTAGCACGGCACATTCCTTCCAAGCCCTTCTTTAGTGTCTATGAGACGCGGTTCTCCAACGAAGGACTGGGTTTCGTTGTAAGGACGGGCTCTGTGCGCCGCCATCTTGCTGTTGGTGTCTGTAGCTCGTCTGATAATCAAACTCTACTAAGGGGTGCGAACGGCTGCCAGTCGGATGCGCGCTGAGCTCCAGGCAATGATAGAATTCGGTGTCTTTCATCACCGCAGTGTTTGGACACGAACCACTACCCGAGTGTCCGCCGAGACGTTGATTGTTACGAGCCGAAGTCGAGTGCTCACGCAGTTCTCGTGCCCGATCCACGATCCGTGCTCGATTGTCGTTAGGCGGGTGGTTTCGAACCCACAATTACCTCATGAAGCTTTGCGAAGGAGAAAGCGGAAGAAATAGTCCTCTTGTGTCCTCGCAAATTCACCGCGACAAAGAAGCTCCTGAATCAGTGGCGGTCTTTGCGAGTATACTCGGGCCAGGCTAGGAACAGTACGCCTCTGCAGAGTCATGAACATTCTAACCCGATACCGTTTCAAAGCCCCTTTAAAATCATGGTTGCCAGTTATCTGAAGCTTTACCTGAAATAGCAGCACACACTTTTTCGTCTTCCAGAAATGTTAAAACAGTCCGCGATAGACTAAAACAATGCCCCTATGCTTCCGAACACCGTGCCTAAAGCTGAGGAAGTCGCATTTTTCTAATTCTGACAATATATCGACAATTCCGTCTGCTCTTAACCAAACACCAAGATGGCGGCGCCCACTATCACTCTAAAAAAAGCCCGTGCGGCTACTTTCCCTCACAACACTCGGAGAGCCAATCACCGACTCTTACGGAGGTAGCTCAGCGAATGACGATGCCGAAACATATGTTTAGACCAAAAAACGCAGTCTGAGTTGTGACATTAAGCAATGCAAGCGTGACGTTTTGCATTGCTTAATGTCACAACTCAGACTGTGTTTTTCGATCTAAACATATGTTTCGGCATCGTCATTCGCTGAGCTACCACCGTAAGTTGCGGTGATTGGTTCTTCGAGTGTTGTGAGGGAAAGTAGCCGCACGGGCTTTTTTTAGAGTGTAGCAGATCAGGGAACGGAGCGCCGATACTGTGAGCGCAGCTCATTTAGTGGCTCTACGCAGATCCTCATCTGGGATATCCCGCGAGCAGAAAGACTACAGTTCGCACGATCCGTGGCGGCAGTGGTGTCGTAATGAAACTGACTGCGAGATCCGTCTATTGCACCCGCTCTGCATTAAGAATCAAAATGGCGGCGCTCACAAGAACATCGTGGATCGGGGTGTCGATATTCTGAAGCGCAACTTATGGAGTGTTTCTATTAGCGCCGAGATGTTTCGGTGACGCCCTCTCATAGTTTCCTCTAGTGACGTCACGACCAATAATTTGCCTCACCGTGACGTCATGAGCTGTAAATCTTGGCTATACTTATCATCATTTGCCAATAACAAATTTGGTGGTGTGTGTCAAAAACACAATGGAAGTTTGGAGTTACAGCATTTTTAAACCAAAATCGTCACAATTGACACATCGACATTGAGCTGATGTCCATCGATGTCATAAAAATTAGTACAAATAAAGAGCGTTTCGAAAATAGCGAATGGCGACCACAGCCACGCGTTTGGTCGCGTACGTTGCTAATAGTCGATGACAGGCTAAACCCAGGAAAAGCACGCTCTCGAAGCGAAAAATCAACTTGGTTCTTAACCTGTTACCGACTATGGTGAAGCGAATTGTCTGTTTTGCTATTCCCTTTTATTTGTGCATCTTTGAATCCAGTGCATTCTCAGCGGGGCCCCGGGAACCATGGGACTCGATCTTGCTCGGGCCCTTGTGTGCCCTCTCGTCGAGATCCTCAACTCAGCTACGCGAGAGTTCGCCGCCGCCTTTCCCTTCGGTGTCATCGCTCGAACCATGGCGAAGATCATCCGTGTACTCACCGGCCGACGCCTCCGCTCGGTCGTCTCGTGTAAGCCTTTTTAAGCCCTGCATTTTGAGCCTCACTCTCGGTATAATAATTGCGCGTATAGAATCGAGTTTATATGGAGATACAGTTGCTGTGGCGGGCGTTCATAAAGTTCGTGGTATTACGATGCACAAAAGGAGCAGCTATTACGAGCATCGGCGGTGAGGTCGGTTTATCGCTACACATGCATCCCACAAGGCGACACACTTATTTTAGCAGTTGATGAGCTGGCGGTTGTCCTAGTTGTAGGAGGAGTCCTCATTTTGGGGCTCTGGGGAAGTGGTCAACCTCGACAATCAGCTCGGCATCGTCCCGAGAACCCTTGCCACGCTGTGGGTGTTTTCAGGAGATGGCAGAAGTCACACGGTGCCAAGGTGGGTGAATACGGGTGTACAGGTAGCATCTCATAGCATAAAGCAGCCGCTAGCGTCACCGGTGCGTTGTGGTGAAGCAAACTTACTCCCTTGGACGGCTTTCTGCGACGTCTACGGCCTCTTTAACCTAGTCAGGAGATCTCGATGGTATTGTCCCTATGACCGTTTCGTCCTTACGGGTCTCAACTATCGGGAGCACACTACTGCTGTTGCCAGAACGCTAAGCATCATGTTTCCCAATGATGACTCCGCCTTTATCTTTTTTTTTTTTTTTTGGGGGGGGGGGGGGGGGTGAATCGGCGTGCTTTCGCTGTTCGGTTTGTTTCGTCGTCCAAGGGCTCGTAATAGTACATCCAGAACTCATCCATGACCATCGGGAGATCGAAGGAGTCGTCGGAGTCGGCTTAAAAAAGCTACAAAGATTCCATGGTAGATTCCTTTCGGGAGTTATTTTCGCATAGACGATGGAGTCGTGAAACCCAACGGGTGGGGACCTTCTACTTGTGCCAATCAATGGGCACTATGAGATGAACATTTTGAACCTGCTGAGACTACAGGGGGCTTGTCCCACATTAGAAATTGTGGCAATACTTACTTCTTTTTTTGCCGCCAGTAATTCCAACTTTATGAACGCCTCTTTTATCGGGTTAAGAAGCAGAAGTCCTGGTTCTTAACCCCAGTGTAAAGTAGTTTGCTCAAGCCTTGCGCTCAAGCTAACCCTCTGCCTTCCTATCCTCCCCTCACTCTTTTTTATTTCCTGTTTACCTTTTGTGTGTGTGTTTCTTCCTTTCGTTATTTTTTTATCGTACGTCATAGAATAGTTAAGATTAGTTGCTAGGAAGTAAATCCGAGTGGTCAGTGACCCAACACCCTGCCTTGATCCGAATGTCAGCTACTATGAAGTGAGGTATAATTACCCATTATATAGGGTGTCTTCAATGGAACTTAAAGGGCAACTCCAGTTTATACTTTCGATTTTAGGATTATGACTGTTTTTAGTGCAGTCAGGCGTCCCTAAATTGCAAGGTGTAATTTTTTTTCTCGTTATTGTGCGTAGTCTTAAAGATATCGACGCCTAAATGTTTTGTATGGGTCGCGACCAACAAAACCAAAACTAGCCGCTGGAGGCCCCGGCAACACTGGAAATCAGCCGCTATGTGAACGTGACGTCAGGATCGTTCTCGTTCAACGAGTACGCAGGCCGAGCGGCAGCTACCTCTGTTTCGCTAGCCGTCTAAGGATAGGAGGTAAGCTGATTTTGTTTTAATTCTGTATACGTGGTAGTTATCTAGCATATGTAGCAAGAGTTAGTGCGTACACCAACAAGCTAGCGACTGGAAAACCCGTGAACTCGTACGGTGCCGTACTCGCCGGGCCGCCGCCGTGCGTGCGCTATGCCGTACTCGTCGGTATACCCAAAAGCTAGGGACTGGAAAACGAGTGAACTCGTTCGGTGCCATACTCGGCGGCTGTCGCCGTGTGTGCGGTTTTCCCTACTCGTCGTCGCTAGGCCTAAATTGTCATTGGGGCTTCGTGGATGGAGCGGCGTTGCTCTACACTCTTAGAAAAAAGGGTATGGATAGTCCTCCCTTATGGGAGGAACGGTCTTGTTACCTATGTTTCTTTAGAAAGGGAGAAACTTTCGTCCCTGAAGCAGGGGAGCAAAGTTCCTCCGTCGCTTGCATCTCAATATGGCGACCCCGAATCAAGCAAATCGAGCCCAATAAGGCTTGACGAGGACGCTACGTCTCTTGTACAAGACGAGAGCAGCAGCAAATAAAAGCGTAACACGAGCTTTCCGCAAACTGCGTTTATTTCCGAAGCCAGATTCCCCCCACAGGTACAGAAACTCGCGTTTCGAAAGCAGTTACTCAGTCTTCTCTTCGACAGCACTGCGACGTTAAACGGAGACAACCGATACCCAGTTACTTCGCGCACTTTGCGTCTTACCTTTGGTGTTCCTCGAGTCACAATTCCTTCGTCAACCGCACTTCACGGACAAGGGCAAACTTAATCCGCGAAACCAAAAGCCGCTCTCGAAAGAACAAACTCGAAGCCGCTGTTTATCACGTAGCCTGAAAGGTTAATTAGCTAGCCACCAGATGGCGGGGTCAAGCAGAGTAATTGCAAGTAGCTAGGCTAGGTGGCGCTAGGTACCGCCCAATTCATGTTCTACAAAAAATAATTAGCTCTTCTCAGGCCACTACTGCGCTTGGGGATCCTCTACTATACACACATTACGCTTATTACTAACATCAGGTGAACATACATTGAGCACATACACGGCGCACACAAATATCAATACAACGGAACACCACACTAACCCGAACACTACGCCCGTGCTCTGCGTTTCCGTCTTTTATACTGGTCGTTTTGAACGTACGGAACTTTTCGGTGACTCCCTAAGCAATAAAAAATATTCCCAGCATGTTGATTTTTTCCCAGCAATGTCATACCTCTGAGAGTATTTTGAATGGCTCAGGGGATTAATTTCTTATTAAAAAGTAAACGCTCGATCATGCCGTAATTATTTGAAAGCCAATAAATCAACCCGCTCCAATGCGGTTCGAAGCCATGAGTTTGTTTCCCCACACGGCACGTCGTAGCCTGTATTTTTATTGTATTGTTTGTTTTTCTATTTGTGCTGTTCGCGCAAAGCTGCAATGGCCGTCTTGAATTAAAGGGGCGGTGCAACGATATTCAATTGGAATGTTTTTCATTTTACACGAGCTTACTGGCACTAGTGGGACTTAAGGATATTCGCACGCAACGCCACTGACTAAGAAACTCCTTTGTGTGGCTGTAATTTCGAGGACAAAACCGAGTGTTTTCATTCAATCTTTCCCTCGCCAAACCTGATGACGTAGCTGGGTGGTAGCAGTACCGCCGAGTGACGATATTTGAATGCGGCTCATAGATTGGACCCGAGCATGGCGTGGACATTCGATTTGGGCTCGTGATAATCGATAGGTCGAGAAGCATTCGGGTAGTGTACGGTGTCCAATCGCGGCAATGACGACAACCGCCGAACCATAACAATGTCTGGAACTCAGCGCGTTTCCTGTGCCTTGCCAACCCCAGCGCGTGGCTAGGATCAACATTGGCGGCATATAATCGGCTCCAGATCACGCGGCCGCTTGTTCTGGCTGCGAGTTGAGGGGGTGAACTCTGCTCGTTTTTCTTAATTTTTTTCTGCGACTTCGATTGCGTCTGGTGAAAAACGAACGAGTATTTCACAGGTCATTAACGTCAGGGATCCGTTCTAAGCGTTATTTCCGCAAAATAAAAAAATCATTGCGTCGCCCCTTTAATCTCTGTAGAGCGGATACTCACTCAGCTGCAAGTGATGCTTCACGGGCTGAGAAATCGCTTTTCGATCAACTTGAATGCAGTCAAAGCCGCGACTTGCGGCAGGTACGGAGCTACGCTCGTGGCGAGCCCGAAAACTTCTAGCGCTCATCCCAGCGCGCAGGGCAGTTTCTCCAGGAACCGTAGTATATTTAAACAGCAAAATAACGGGGTAGCTTTTTTTTTTCGATTTTACCTATACTATTGTTTTTTAATGCCGAAATTCCATACTGTAAACATACGCACTTTCCGTCACGATTTCGTACTGTTCAGTCCTTGCCCCAGAGTTCAATCGCTCTCGGGGACAAGATAATTCCGACAGTCACATGGCCACTGTACGATAGCGATAGGAGCTTCGACTATTCAGACCAGCGTTCCAACATGACTATCCGCACGTTGATCGATTGCACGTAATCCCTCAAGTGGTATTAAACTTTTTAATGTAAAGCGGAATGTCAACCTGCGACACCAAGCCCCCTCCGATCACGGCCCGACCAACGGCATCAACGCCCGGCAGTTTACAATCTCATCTTGTTACACCACTGATACGCGAACACACGGTCCCATCGGCGATAATTCCAGTCTTCTGTTCACAACCTACAACACTGCCATCACGATGTTGCAGCTATGTTGCTGACAGGCACAAATACAGAACCACGTTGAACGCCGGTCGCACTCGGCATCGGAAAACAGAACCGAACTCAGTACGGAAGGCACCCAGGCAGCCGGCGGCAAAACCTGCCTGTCTTGGACGCAGTTCCTGCGGTTTCCATAACGTCGAAAACGTCGACACAGTTCCGCGTGGATTCGCTACTGTAGTGACTGTAGCAACTGTAGGACTGTAGCAACTGTAGTTTCGTGCCGCGCGAGTCCCGCAATCCGGAGACGGCCATCCCCCAGTGTACGTGGCGCTGCTGGCACTGCTCCGGAACTTCGCTGTTTCTAGCGGCTTCGTTTGCTCGTTTGATCAAATTAGTGATAAAAACGTCGATGCAACAGAAATGTTCTGCACGTTTAGACTAGAAGACTGAATTACAGGCGGCCTTCGCTGCCGCTGAAGCTCAATCAACTCAACAGTTATTTATTAAACAACGTGCGCGACCTGCTCGAAAAACGAAACCGAAAGAAGATGAGTCGGGAGGGCAAAAGCTTTTCCCGTCTGCCTGGAGAAGGAGAAAAACACTGATCTCAATGACAATTGCTGGATCGCGCTTGCCGCTCCCGCAAGTGAAGCCACCGGGCGTCACTCGCTTGGGATACGATTTGCCGTTTTTGCTAGCC